CTATAACTGAAACTGACAGGCTAAAGGATGTACAAACACAAGAGGTGGATGTGAATGCCAGATGTGGTGTGTGTGGAGGAGTGGGGCCTGGGGAAGAACATTTGGAGTAGGGATACAAAGACAGTATTGTTTAGAGAAGGAGGTAGTATTATATTTTTATCAATTCGACTGGGGAGAAATGTTCTTATATTGAAATGACCACTTTGTAAGCTAAATAATGTGACTGAATGTATTAAAAAATGTAAAAGAAAGAAAGCAAGAAAGCCAGCCAGCCAGCCAGGTGTGTTGGGACCAGCAGAGGGTGTAATGATTACGTTGCTGGACTCTCGCATGGCCAACCACAGTTCAAGCCCCAGATCTAGCAGCTTTAAATACGCCAGGTTCCTGTATGTATGTGTGCTCAAAATCCCAAGAGGAGAATAAAGGGACCTGTGGCAAGGCCAACCCCTGTAGGATTTCTTTAAAGAATTATTTAATCTAATTTTATTCATATCATTATTTTATTTTATTAAAGTTGACCAGAGAGAGATAGAAGGAAAGTGAGAAAGCAAGCTGCCAGGTCTGGGACTCAAACTGCAGTTACACATGTGGGAGTCTAGCTGCCCCAACCACCATGCCACCTGCCAGCCCCTGTAGCGGTTATTTCTCACTTTCTGTATCTCTGTCTCTCTCTCTAGCAAGCGTACACACCCTATCAAAAACCTCTAAATAAAAAATAAAATAAAAAAGCCAGGTGTGGGGGCCACCTGGTTGGTGTAGTGGTTACATTGCTGGACTCCCTCATGGCTAACCACAGTTCGAGTCCCTGACTTGGGCCTTGAAACTCACACTGGGCGCATGTGTGTGCGTGCCCAAGAGCCCAGGAGAAGAATGGAGAAGGAACTGCGAAGGGGTCATTGCCCATGGAGGGTGATTTCTCACTTTTCTTCACACTGTCTTTGTCTCCCTCTCTCTCTGGCAAGCACATCTCTGACCATCTGCCCCCTACCTCATCCCCACTCATCACCTCCCACCACTTAGTGGGGACCTCATCAACCTTCCCTTTCATCAGCAAAATATCAGACCTCAAGGAACTCATGGTTAATTGGGAGAGGAGGAAGAGAACCTAAATCTAAGCATACTGAGAATTTTTTATCCCGTTAGCAGTTGTATGAAGTCTTCATTGGGGAGGCCACCTTGTGTTAGGGTGAGAGTCCAAATTGTTTTTTAAGATGGTAGATCCCGGGGGCCGGCAGGTGGCATAGTGGCTAAGGGCACTGGACTCCCATGTGGCCAACTCCAGTTCGAGTCCTGGACTTGGCAGCTTGCTTTCCCACTTTCTCTCTTTCTCTCTCTGGTCAAATAAAAATAAATAAAGTTCAATAAAATAATTCTTTTTTAAAAAAAAAAAAAGGTAGATCCTATTAACTGGCTGGTTGTTTGTTTCTGCTACTTTTTCGTTTTTCCCCTTTCCTTTTTTTTTTTTTAGCAGATAATATATCAACTGCAAATAAGGGTAATTTTCTCTTATTCTTCAATTTTTTTTTTTTTGAGAGTTTTTGCCATAGGGTGTATGTACTCGCCCGAGAGACAGAGAAAGACAGAGAGACACAAAGTGAGAAATCTCCCCCATACGGGGAGATTCTTTTCTTCCCCCCTTCTCCTCTATTCTCCTCTGGAGATTTAGGGCATGCATGCACACATGCCCAGCCTGAACTGCAGTCTACTACATGGGAGCCCAGAGCCTTAAACCACTACTCAGGGACCAGCAGTTAGTGTAATGGCTAGGTCGTTGGACTCCCATGTAGTCGACCGCGGTTCAAGTCTCAGATCCAGTGGCTTAAACTCATGCTGGGTGCATGTACATGAGTGCCCAAGATCCTGAGAAGAGAATGGAAGAGAAGGGATTGTGGCGTGGCCATCCCCCCTGGGGGGTGATTTCTTGCTTTCTGTCTGTCTGTCTCTTTCTGTCTTTCTGGTGAGTGCACACACCCTATAGCAAAAACCTCTCCAAAAAAATTATTTATGATTATTATTGTATTTTTATTTGCTATCGGGCACGTGTACTCACCATAGAAAGAGAAAGTAAGAAAGCTAGCCACTAGGTCTGGGACTTGAACCACAGTAGACCATGTGGGAGTCCAGTATCTTAACCACCATGCCACCTGCTGGCCGAAAAATAATTTTTTTTGAGAGGTTTTTGCTATAGGGTGCACGCACTAGCCAGAAAGACAGAGAGACAGAAAGCAAGAAATCACCCCCCAGAGGGGATGGCCATGCTGTAATCCCTTCTCCTCCATTCTCCTCTCGGGATCTTGGGCACGCATGCACACGTGCCTGGTGTGAGTTTAAGCCACCAGGTCTGCGACTTGAACCGCGGTCGACTATATGGGAGTTCAATGACATAGCCATTGCACTAACTGCTGGTTCCGAAAAATAATTTTTTTGAGAGGGATTTTTGCTATAGAGCATATGCGTTCACCAGAGAGATGGAGAGAGACAGAGATACAGAAAATAAGAAATCACCTCCTAGGAAGGATGGCCATGCTGCAATCCCTTTTCCTCCATTCTCCTCTCAGGATTTTGAGCATGCACATACTCATGCCCAGTGTGAGTTCGAGCCTCCGGTTCTGGGACTCAAACCATGGTCAACCACATGGGAGTCCAGTGAAGTAACCATTACACCATCTGCTGATCCTGCAAATTTTCTTAATATAAATATTTCCTTGAAATAAATCCCAAGTATGACATTTAAGTTTCTCCAGTACAATTTATTCTTATTACATCGTAGTGCATTTATTAAATATATTAAGAATATTACACTCCAAGAGCTCCAGAGAGAGACCATTAACTAAGAAGAGAACAGTCTCATTTTCTTAGTATGTCAAATTTCTAGTTAGCCTGCTTGCTTTCCTACTGCAGATGCTCACTCTCTTGTGGTTACTGACATGTAATTGTCTTCGAGATGTGGCTGAAGCATGAATTTACAGTTGGCATCAGGCCAAGTCTGTGCATCCTTGAATGCAGGCCACCACCTGCATTTAGAGTACAGCCCGTTGAAAGGTTTTTCCTTGACAGTCAATGATGATGAATCTGCAAAGACTGGCTATTCTCTTGGGAAAAGAAAATATACCGCACCTAAAGTGACAGCTACAGTTTTCCAACAGAAAAAAAACAAATTATCAAAGAGAAAAATCAATGGTAAATTTAGGGAAAATACTCTGAGAATAGAGTAAGTACAATATACACACACCGAAGTAAATAGTGAGGCTTCTCCTGAGTCTGAGCTCTTTTATTTTTAAAAGTCTGATAAAAATGGACTCACTTACATTTTATATACAGTGGTATTTTAATGAATTTTGTTGAAAAAGGCTATGTTCTAAGTTCATTTGTAAAAATAACAAAAGTTTTATCACTTAGTCTCTGGTCAATAAGAAAGGAAGAAAACCCTGGCTAGAAATAACAATAAATAAGTCACACAAAAGGCCAGGTGACATAAGAATACTATATTAATCAATATATTTTCTTTGTATTTACAATAAATCCATTTGTTAATACTGTGATAGAAAAAATAATGAATCAGTCCACATCATGTAGTAGGAATAGATTTTGAGGATGATCATACCTCTCACAATTAAAATATACAAGGATTTATCACACAGCTAAAATACTTTACAAGGTGAGTAGAGGTAAAAATGGAAAGAGTAATTTAGACCGGCCATGTCCTAGAATCAAAGAATCAAGGACATTACCATTAACCAAGCAGCAAAATGCAGTTTAGTTTTTCTAGAACTATTTAAATATAGCAGTTACCAAGTGGAAGTTAATTTTCCTTTGTGAGTTAGGAAAAAACCCCACTAAACTGGAAACTGCATTAATCAAACAAAAAAGTCATCAACAGAAATGAAACAAGGCATTCTTATTGTATCATGCATAAAAAGGATAATTACATACACTCCTTAATGACCAGACTAATAAATAAATTATGTAAACTTTAGTCATTAAAACAAATAAACTATACTTAAGTACTTAAGGGTTGTGCTGCCACTCTAGCTCAAAATATAAAATCATTAACCTATTCTCTAAACTTGCATATTTTGGATGTTCTTTTTTTTAGGTACCTTTTTGAGATATTAAAGAAGCACTGTAACAAAATATTATCTAAATATAAATTAGCAACATCAACTATGATACAGTTATCATGTAATCATCCCCTCTTTTGTATATGCACAGTGGAATTGTTAAAAGTTAGAAAAAAAAAAAATGAAGAGACTGGCCAGAATCTTAATTTTTAGACTCATCCCTGATAGAAATCTAGAACAGAAAAAAAATAAATAAATAAAATCCACAAAATAGATAAGTTGGTATCCTTTCTATATTCAGTGGTCTAATAAGATGCAACCTATAAGCATATCCATTACCTCAAAAACAAAGAGGAAGAAAATATAAATCTCTTAGGTTTAGTTTTCTAGTTTATGCTCTAAAAAAAGCATAAACTAGCAAGAACTATAAACCTATTTTTAAAAATCTGGAATTTTAAAAATATTTTGGTTATTGATTTAAAAATAAGGGAGAAAAATATGAAATTAAATTGCATAAATGAGCTGAATCAAGAATTTCCTACCGTGCCACTATTAATTCTCTGGCTACATTTGGTAAAAAAAGATGGCTACCATAACTGGACAGCACTTTATCATAGTGTACTAATCTCCATTTTTACTTTCTTTTCCCCTTGCCACTTAAGTGCATTATTTTAGCTGTCTGATAGAAAATTTTATTTTACAAATTCCTTTTTAATTACTGAAGAGGTGATTTTAAAACATAAATGGATGCACCTGCTAATCCTGAGATGAGGATGATGATGTTGATAGAAAAACTGAAAGTCAGATGCTTTTTTTTTTTTTTTACTCAAATTTCTGCTTTAGTTTCTTTTGGAAGATGGCTGGCAGAATAGAAAGAACAGCCAAAATCATCAGAATAAATACTGAGTTCCATGAAACAGCTTCCCCTGCTGTTGTAAGCTGGTACAGTGTAGTTCCTGCCTTAATCGCTACAAAAGAAGGAGGTGCAACACCTAAAATAAGAAACAAAATACACAGTAAAAACCATGAAATTTCTGCTTTAGTTTCTTTTGGAAGATGGCTGGCAGAATAGAAAGAACAGCCAAAATCATCAGAATAAATACTGAGTTCCATGAAACAGCTTCCCCTGCTGTTGTAAGCTGGTACAGTGTAGTTCCTGCCTTAATCGCTACAAAAGAAGGAGGTGCAACACCTAAAATAAGAAACAAAATACACAGTAAAAACCATGAATTGTCTTAAAAATTCTCTTGCATGCATAAAATCTCTTAAAAGAATACAACTATTTCCATTTCGGGAATATATATTAATCAAAGCCACTCAAGTTTATTTTCATCTAAAGAATTTGATCTTTTGTAATTACCTAATAAAATGTAAAAACCCGAGAAAAGTGTTCAGATAGTAATTTTATAACATTTACCAACACTTAAAAAAGAGAGAGAGAGAGAGAGAGAGAGAGAGAGAGAGGGAGAGAATGTATAACTTTAGCTTTAGGAAATAATGCATCTGAACAGAAATCTAGTTTAAAATATGTTAATCAGTACGTTATAATAATAAAATCTAAGGCCTATCTCCAGCCTGTTGCAGAAGGAAGCTGTATCCCATGTGGCTGACAGCACAGTTTAAATCCAGGACCCAGCAGCTTGAAAAACACACTGGGCACACATATATATGCATGGCCAAAAACCCGATGATGAAGAAAGAATCATGGTATGACCATGCCCCACTAGGGTGTGATTTCTACCTTGCCCTCTCTCCCCTCTCTTTGTCTGGTGAGCACATGGATCTCTGGCAAATATTTTTTTAATTCTGGAAATTGGGGGGCCAGCAGGTGGTATGGTGGTTAAGTGCACTAGACTCCCACATGACCAACCATGGTTCAAGTCCCAGACCTGGTGGCTTGCTTTCTCACTTTCCCTCTCTGTCTCTCTCTGGTCAAATTAAAATACTAACAATAATGACAAAACAAAATAATTACTAAAATAAAGTAAAATAATTCTTAAAAAAATAAATTTCTGGGACTAGAGGTCAGTTGGTGGCCTGGTGGTTAAATTGGCTGGATTCCACATGGTCGACTTGAGGTTCAAATTGCAGACCCAGTGGCTTGAAAAACACACCAGGCACACATGCATGCATACCCAAAATCCTGAGAGGAGAACAGAGGAGAAGGGATTGCAGCGTGGTCTACTATCCTGGGGAGAAGCTCTCTCGTTTTCATTCTCTCTCTCTCTCTCCAGCAAGTGCACATGCCCTATAGCAGAAACTTAAAAAAAAAAAAAATTCTGGAAATAATCTCAATGTTCAAAAATAAGGTTGACAAGATTTTCATTCTTACTTGACAGAGTAATTTTGGCTGCTGGAAAAGTCATGACACACTTTTGATAGAAAAAATGTCATAACTTTTCTGATAACCCAATACTTAAAATGAAGTGGTATGAGATATACCGACATAAAAATTTCATTAAAAACCCAAAGCAGATGGCGTAATGGTTACATCACTGGAATCCCACGTATTCAACTGTGGTTCGAGTCCTGGACCCAGCGGCTTAAAAGTCATGCTGTACACAGGTATGTGCCCAAGATCTCAAGAGAAAAATGGAGGAGAAGGGACTAAGGTGTGCCCTTCCCTGCTGTGGGGGAATGATTTCTAACTGTCTGTCGGTCTCTTTCTGTCTCTCCAGTGAGTGCATGAGCCCTATAAAAAAAATTCTCTTTAAAAAAAAAAAAAAAAATCCAAAGGGGCCTGCATGTGGCATAGTAATTAAGACGCTGGACTTCCACATGGCTGACAACAACTCAAGTCCCAGACTGGCAACTTGAAAGTCATGCTGGGTGTGTATGCGCCCAAAATTCCAGAAGGAGAATGGAGAAGAAGAGATTACGATGTGGCCATCCCCCCAGGAGGTGATTTCTCACTTTTCCTCTCGTTGTCTCTCTCTGGTGAGTACTGCCCATGACTATGACAAAAAACTAAAAAGAAAAATGTAATTAAAAAAATATAAACGTTGGGCACGTGCGTGTGTGTGCATGCATGCCCACCCAAAATCCCAGAAGAAGGCAGAAATACGGAGAGGGGATAGTCAAGGGACCACTCCGCACGGAGGGCTTTTCTCATTTCCTCCCTCTCCTCTGAAAGTACGCATGCCCTAGGAAACTTGAGCCCACAAGCTGGAGCCTGCAGAATGTACACACGATGAGCTCTCACAGCATGAACCAGAGCCTTACCTAGAAAAGTGCCGATAAAAAACACTTTCAATGGAACGTTTATTACAGGAGATGTGATATTAATAAACCAATTGGGCAGAAATGGTGTTATTCTCAAAAATATAATGTAGTTAATGAGATGTTCTCTATGACGTTCAACCTGTCATAAAAAAAATTAGTATCAGATAAAGCCAACAGAAATAATCAAAAAGGATTTTGAAAATGACAATAAACCATTTATCAAATGCTAAACGAGAGGAGTTTCCTTTTTAAATTGTGCTTAAATATTGTTATTTTATTAAATGGTTCTGTATCATCCTAATGATGACTTCATGATGGTATTTTAAACCTAAAATATCAAAAGTAAATCTATACGGTAACTAGATAAAAGATATACAGCAAGTAGCCAACTTTTTAATGCCTTCAACTTCCTACAGTGTAACAGGCTCATATATATCAATCAACAAATCTATCCCCCCCAATTAAAAAGAAAAAACTTCAAATAATCTTTATTTCGTAGTATTACAATCTGTATCACAAGTGAATTAATTTTTTTTTTTAAATTTAAAAATTTTTGGAGCGATTTTTGTTACAGTGTACATGCACTCACCAGAGAGACCGAGAGACAGAAAGTGAGAAATCACCCTCCAGGGGGGATGGCACACTTCTATCCCTTCTTCTCCATACTCCTCTCTGGATTTTGGGAATGCAAGCACACACACGACCTGGCTTGAGTTTTAAGTCGTCAGGTCAGTCACGTGGGAGTCCAGAGCCTGAACCACTACTCCAACTGCTGGCCCTGAATTAATTTATTTTTAATAAATGAGATTAAACAAATATACGGAAATATTTAGCTGATTAAATATATGTCCTAATTACACTTTATATTTCCTTTGAATAACTAGTAAGCTCACTTACAGAAAATATATACTCCAAAGAAAAATTTGCATGTAAAAAGCTTAAAAATATTTATCACATAAATGGTATGAGAAAAGCACTAAACCTCACTTTAAAAGTAAACAATTATGGGACCAGCAGGTGGCGTGGTGGTTAAGGTGCTGGACACTCCCACATGGCTGACTAGGGTTTGAGTCCTGAATCTGGTGGCTTGCTTTCTCACTTCCTCTCTCTCTCACTCTCACCCTCTGTCTCTCTCTGATCAAACTAAAAAAAAA